AAGTAAAACAGACAGGGGGGGGGGGGGGGAGGATGCTAAACTTGTGTGCTAGGCATTCTGCAGTTTGTATCTTTGCAAGCTTAGCTGATGGGGGCTGTTTGAAAGTAGCTTCAACTGTTTGGTGTGCTGCTTACTTTCCCTTATGGTAACCAAAGGGTAACTGCAGTTCATACACTACAAGTTCTGATTCATTTATGTATTATCTCACATTCAAATAGGTAACAGTGTTGAGTAAAGAGTGATTTGCCCACTGTCTAGCATTTTGGGCCTTGGTCTTAATTTAGAATCGGTTCTTCACTTGTTATTTACTTGTTAGCAACAAAGGAAGGCCACCCACTGTTTTTCAGTTCTGATCTAAAATATTATTCCTGGCTTAGGTATACACAGATTAGTGAGCAGAGCCTTTCCAGAGCAGAAGGGCTTGGGGGGATTCCTTGGTTTTAAAGCTCTTTCTGCTGTAATAACTGCAAACATAATGTGTGATCTGTCTTCCCTCTTAGAGCAAAGCCGTCGAGATGATTTGGAAGCCCTAGGCCATATGTTCATGTACTTCCTCCGCGGCAGCCTGCCCTGGCAAGGACTCAAGGTATCCTTGAAAGTGCTTTGTCTCTTTGCTCAGTAGATAATGAAAGGGCTGCTAGTTTGGTGTCTCTAAAATGCACGATGGGGAAGGTTGGCTTCAGAGGTGAGAGGCAGGGATTAGTGATATCAGTCACATTGTCAATGTTCACTGGGCTTTGGGAGCTCCAGCTTGTTCACATTTGGCTTCCTCACCTTCTTATCTTAATCCTGCCTCTTTGTGTTTGCATTTTCCATAATCCTTCCTCTCATTCCCTCCCAGCCTTGGCAGTGCTGCTTTTCTCTGCATGGTGGTGTCCCTCCTCCACTATCATTATGTAGCAGGAGGAGTGTTCCCAGGGTATCAGAAATTCTAGAACAAATTGATGACAGCAGCTGCTACACATTTACTAAAAAAACCAGCAGGATTTTTCCTAGCTCCTAAGGTGAACTAGAAAATCATTATTCATCCTACATAGACAAAGGACTCACCTTAACTAAAATAGCAGAAAAAAATTCAGGTTTAACATTCCTGTGCAAATACATTATTGAATAAGTAACTTTTCAAATAATAGCCATCTTTTGCAAACATATAGTTTTAGTCACTTTCTTTAGGTAAATGGTGTACAGTGCCTGTGAGTAAACTATTAATTAACACAATTAATATAGTTATAAACATTATAATTATTCTGTGGCAGTTACTAGGAAACTTAAGGGTTTTTTTCCTTCTCAAAACAGGGTTTCTCTGTGTAACAGCCCTGGTTGTTCTGGAACTCACTCTGTAGACTAGGCTGGTCTTGAACTCACAGAGATCTGCCTGCCTCCCGAATGCTGGAATTAAAGGCGAACACCAGTACCACCCTGGGAACACCAATACCACCTGGCTAAAACTTAACCTTCTAACTCTTCCCAAGGCCCTTCACATAGTTAGATAAGACATATTTTAGTTCTAATTTATTTCAACATATTAGCATGGAAAGAATTTTAATCTGTAATTTGAGGTATCCCTATACCTTCTTGTTCTGAGTAGGCAGAATAATTCATTTTCCTATGTTTTCTAGAACATTCTCTGATTGAACACAAGGCCTTGTACATACTAGGCTAGTGTTCTTTCTCTGAGCTATAGCCAGAGCTCCATTCTCTAAATTTTTTTTTCTTAAATTTTTCTCCTGATGTCTCTCATCCATCATCATTCGGTCATGTGTGTCTTCTCATGTGGACCATGCAACCCCATTTTAGTGGTAGCGATGGATTTAGAATCTCTCCACTTTACTTTTCCTCTCTGTTACTTAAATCTGGTAGAAGTAGGCTGGCTAGAGCTTAATGAAGAGTACAAGGTCCAGAAGCTTTCTGTGTGCAGTCCTGAGAATGCCATACTTGGACTGCTTTGACCCTCTGACACACACTTCTTTGTTAGCAATGCCTATTGTGCAGGTAACTTTTATTATGTCTGGAAAGGTTTTGTTTGTTGTTGTTTTTTTTTTTTTTTTTTTTTTTTTTTTTTTTTTTTTTTTTTGGTTTCCATTGTCACTAAGCTATATCCTCAAACCTGGAAACCTTTAGAGGTTTTTCACTTCTTGTCCTTCTGTTCTTTGCAGCTTGACAATATGTAAGTATATGTGGTTTTTCTCTCCTTTGAAATAGAAAAATAGCCGGGCGTTGGTGGCGCACACCTTTAATCCCAGCACTCGAGAAGCAGAGGCAGGCGGATCTCTGTGAGTTGGAGACCAGCCTGGTCCAAAAGAGCTAGTTCCAGGACAGCTCCCAAAGCCACAGAGAAACCCTGTCTCGGGGAAAAAAAAAAAAAAAAAGAAAACGAAAAAGAAAAAGAAATTACTAACTGCAGAAAGGGTCACAAAAATGTGTGACTTCATCTGAGATTATTCTTTGGATGTCAACTGAATACTAGTTGACACTGGAACTGAGGGCTGGAGAGATGGCTGCTCTTCCAGAGGTCCTGAGTTCTTTCCCAGCAGCCACATGGTGGCTCACAACCATGAGACCGATTCCCTCTTCTGACATAAAGGTGTACGTGCAGCTAGAGCACTCATATACATACATATATACATACATACGAAACTGGAACTGATCATAGAGGGAGAAGACTGAGTCACTGTTGGATCTAAGTGGCCATGGGAGTTTTCTAAGCTGCCACAATCTTTAGAATGCTACTGTGTAATGTTTTGTTTACTTCTTTTCTATCCTTGTCTGAGATTACTAAACACATTTTCAAAGTAAAACTTTCAAGAACTCAGCAGGGGTTTTTGTATATGTAAACACAGCATGTCTATACATTCTTATTTGTTAAAGAGGAAAAAATTGAGATCCACTAACAATTCCTACCAGTTTGAATGAAAATAACTTAACTATTGTGGTGACTAGAAAGATGCCTCAATGGTTTAAGAGTGTTTACTGCTTTTTTTGTTTGTTTGTTTTTTGTTTTTCAAGACAGGGTTTCTCTGTAGCTTTGGCACCTGTCCTGGAACTCACTCTGTAGACCAGGCTGGTCTCAAACTCACAGAGATCCACCTGCCTGTGCCTCCCAAGTGCTGGGATTAAAGGCGTGCGCCCCCACCGCCTGGCATGTACTGCTCTTGTAGGGCACCCAAGTTCATTTCCTAGCACCCACATCAGTTAGCTCACAGCCACCAGTAACTCCAGCTGCAGGGAAATGGTGTTGTTTTCTGGCCTCCTTGGGTACATATTCCACACACAGATATACATATACATACATAATTGAGAGTAAAATCATTAAATAAATATAACCCCAGTGTCTGAGAACACATTTAACTTACTTACTTGGTATGTTTTTCCAGGTAATTTTCTTTCTTTGCTTTCTACAGGCTGATACATTAAAAGAGAGATATCAAAAAATTGGTGATACCAAAAGGAATACTCCCATCGAAGCTCTCTGTGAGAACTTCCCAGGTAGGATGCTAAAAGGATAATACAGCCAGTGTGACTGACACTTTGCAGTAGGTAATGTCACAGTATCTATAAATACTAGTGTTGGCTAGATCATTTACATTTCTTTTTATTATTATTCAGCCCAAGGAAAGTATCACTTTTATTTGGTCCATAAAGAAAAATTAATGTCAAGTTATCTGTACAGATATCTTTGTGTAGCTTGGAGCTTAACCTCTGGGGAAGCATTCAGCTAACAGGCATGGCTTTTTACCTTTTCCTTAACAGAGGAGATGGCAACCTACCTTCGATATGTTAGGCGATTAGACTTCTTTGAAAAACCTGATTATGAGTATTTACGGACCCTCTTCACAGATCTGTTTGAACGGAAAGGCTACACCTTTGACTATGCCTATGATTGGGTTGGAAGGCCTATTGTAAGTACCCTTTTAATTTTATTTATTTATTTTTGCTGGGCAGTGGTGACGCATGCCTTTAATCCCAGCACTTGGGAGGCAGAGGAGGTGGATCTCAGTGAGTTCAAGACCAGCCTGGTCTACAAAGTGAGTTCAAGGGCAGTGTCATTAGACCAATGAAGTATATGTTTTTGGATTATGACTTGTGGGGCCTGAAGAGATAGTTCAGCAAGTAAGAGCACTTGCTGTTCTTACAGAGGACCCAAGTTCAGTTCCCAGAATCTACATGGTGCCTGACAACCATCTATAACTTCAGTTCAAGGGGATCCAGTGCCTTGCCTTCTTCTGCTCTGGGCACCAGGCACACATGTGATGTTCATACACATATTTAAGCAAGCACACACATAAAATAAAGCAAATTCTCAACGATTATAATGTATATCCTGAGATACTATAATTTAAGCCAATATTTTACACATTTCTTTTAACTGACTCACAATTTAGTTCTGTCTGTGCTATAGAGGAATTTGACTTCTGTAGAAGTAGAATCCAACACCTTTTGAAACTTGGATTTACTAGTTCTGACCAGAGTCCACATCCTCAGAGACTGTGCTAACAGATAATGCTGCTAAACAGTTGTTCTACTTTCTAGGGTAGCCTGCTCTTCAATGGATTGTTGAAGACCAGACTACCTTCCCTTCTGCAAATGACCAAATGTAGGAAAACAAGATGATTTGAAAGAAAAACAGGGAGTGGAAGGGGAGTGGAAAGATGGCTTAGCAGTTAAGAGCACTGGCTACTCTTCCAGATGACCTGGGTTCAATTCCCAGCACCCACAGGGCAGCTCACAACTATCTATAGTAACTCCAGTTCCAGGGAATCCAGCACCCTCTTCTGACCTCCTTAGGCACTGCAAGCCTGTGGTGCACAGACATACATGCAAGCTAAACACCTATGTACATAAAAATATTTTTTTTTTTAAGAAAAGAAAAAGAGCCAGGTGATGGTGGCCCACACCTTTAATCCCAGCACTTGGAAGGCAAAGGCAATCGATCTATGTGAGTTCGAGGCCAGCCTGGTCTACAGAGGGAGTGCCAAGACAGGCTCCAAAGCTACACAGAGAAACTCTGTCTTGAAAAACCAAAGAAAAAGATTGATTCCTACTCTATAAGAATTACATGCTGCTGCCCTTTACATAGCTATTATATTAAACTTGTTTTCCCCATTTGGTGGTTTTTGAGACAGGGTCTTATGTGTAGCTTTAACTGTCCTGGAACTCACAATAGACCAGCTAGCCTCAGACTCACAGAGATCCACCTAACTCTGCTTCTCAAGTGCTGGGATTGAAGGTGTATGTCACCACACCAGGTTACCCATTTGAAATTTACTTCATTTTTCTAGCCTACTCCAGTAGGAGCAGTTCATGTAGATTCTGGTGCATCTGCAATAACTCGAGAAAGCCACACACACAGGGATCGGCCATCACAACAACAGCCTCTTCGAAATCAGGTATGTGTTAGGTTTTAGTCGTCTTAATCATTCCCCTTCTTTATAACTACTGTTAAAAACCCAGCTTCTCGGGGCTGGAGAGATGGCTCAGAGGTTACGAGCACCGGCTGCTCTTCCAGAGGTCCTGAGTTCAATTCCCAGCAACCACATGGTTGTTCACAATCATCCTTTATGAGATCTGGTGCCCTCTTCTGGTGTGCAGATATACATGGAAGCAGAATTTTTTATACATAATAAAAAAAAAAAATTTTTTAAAAAGTCAAAAAAAAAAAAAAAAAAAAATTTTTTAAAAAAAAAAAAAAAAAAAAATTTTTAAAAAAGTAAAAAAAAAAAAAAAAACAGATTCTCCCTCTTCTCTATGTTAGTGTTATGTGGAGTTAAGGAAAATAGCTAGTTTAGTATCACATTAGAGCAACTGTCAGAGAAAATGTAAATACATTGAGATGAGACATATACGCTAAAGATTCAGGACCTGACCACCAGGTATGATATCACAGGCCTTTAATCTCAGCATTAGGTAGAAGCAGACAGATCTCTGTGAGTTTCAGGCCAACTTGGTCTATATAGGGAGCTCCAGGCCAGCCAGGGCTTGATAATGAGACTGTGTCTCCAAAAAAGAAAAAGAAAAAAAAAAGAGTCTGGGCTTGAAGGAATAGTCTGGTTTTTAGGAGACCTCAAAGCTGGCTGTGAGTTTGGATCTAAGGCCCCAAAGACTGCTGGACATGCAGATATAGCACATGGTGTACTTAGGCTCCTCTCTACAGGTGACTCTAGAGCTTAAGCCAGTTGTAGTCTCTGTTTGCTTATAAGGGCAATGATTTGGCTTTTCAGCTGACCTAGTATAAACTGCAACCTGAACAGTTGCAATCATACCCAGGTTGATTTGAAAGTTGTGTAAGATGCCTTAAAGATATAGTTCAGGGATAGAGTTTTTGCCTGACACATACAAGGCTCTGGCATGGGTTCAGGGTCTGACACAGCCATAAAATAAAGGAAGAAAGATTCATCTATGTTTAGAGCTCAGTGTGATCAGTCATGTCTTTTAATTCCAATTCTTTTAAGTTGGAAACAGTAAGGTTGCTACAAGTAGAGGCCAGTGTGAGCTGTTTAGTAATATTGTTATCTCAAAAAGTAAGTAGATAAATAAATCTTCACAATTATCTCTCAAAGGAAGGGAAAGTGAACAAAATCAATCAGATGCAATAATACAAAACATTAACAGAAGTAATATTGGAAATAGAATTCTAAGTGATATTTTTCTAAAACATTTTCTAATGAAGTTCCAGTTTTACAATTAAAGACATTTAAAAAGAATGTATAGGGCCAGGTGGTAGTGGTGCACGCCTTTAATCCCAGCACTTGGCAGGCAGAGACAGGCGGATCTCTGTGAGTTTAAGGCCAGCCTAGTCTACAGAGTGAGTTCTGGGAAAAGCTCCAAAGCTACTCAGAGAAACACTGTCTTGAAAAACCAAAAAGAAGAAAAGGAGGAGGCAGGGTGGTATAGGCCCAGGCAGTGGTGGTGCATTCCTTTAGTCTCAGCACTCAGGAGACAGAGGCAGGTGGATTTGAGTTGGAAGCCATCCTGGTCTACAGAGTGAGTTTCAGGACAGCCAGGGTTGTTACACAGAGAAACCTTGTCTTGAAAAGCCAAAAAAGAAAAAGAATGTGCAGAAAGAGAAAGAGATAAAAGTGAAGCCATAATCATTATGTCTCTGCCCTTTTTGGGTGTTGGGGTGGTTTTCAATACAGGGTTGACCTAGTCTCATTACTCTCCCCCACTTTCATGTTGTTGTTGGTTTTTTGTTTTTTAAAATTATTTATTATATATACAGTGCTCTGCCTGCATGTATGCTTGCAGGCCAGAAGAGGATACCAGATCTCATTAGAGGTGGTTGTGAGCCACCATGTGGTTGCTGGGAATTGAACCCAGGTCCTCTGGAAGAGCAGCCAGTGCTCTTAACTGCTGAGCCATCTCTCCAGCCCCCACTTTCATGTTGTATAGGGTCTGTGCTACAGATTGGCAGGTATAGGCACTTGCTGCCAAGCCTGATGACCTCAGTCAATGCCCAGGACTCACATGGTTGAAGCAGAGAGGGATAAGTAGGGAGCTCTTATTTCCAAAGAGCTGGCAAATAGATAAGCCATGAAACCAGTTAACTATAATACAAGGCAGAACAGTTAAGCTTTAAAAAGTATTACCACTTGGAATTGGTTTTTGTTTTTGTTTGAAACAAGATCTCTGTAAACCAGACTGGCCTCAAACACGCCGATATCTGCTGATTACTGGGATTAAAGGCATGGGCCACCATGCCAGTCTCATTGGAATTCAAAGGAAATAATTTCCCCTAGTCAGAGCATAGCAAATTATTTTATGGGGAGAAAAGAAAATGCCACATTTGAAATGCCGCCCTTCGAAGAAGTAGTCATGGACAAGACAATCCAAGCAAAAAGAGTATGAGCAGCAACAATTACATATCTAATAAAGGAGTCTTAGGAATCAAGGCTAGAAAAATAGAAGTTCCCCAAATGCTAGGCTGGAGAATGGCTGGTTCTTAACTTCAGTAAGAACTTGGGCTAAAAACCAGAAGACTGATAATGTGGAAATTTGCTTTAAACTTTTTTTTTTTCAACTTGGCAACTAGTGTGAGGAAAAACTAAGAATAAATTAAAATATGAGGACCTGAGTTCAATCGCTGAACTTTATTTTGATCCAGAGCTATTCTTGGTGGCCTGAGCATACAGTCCCAGAGCATGGAAGGTAGAGACAGGAGGACCCCTGGTACTCACTGACCTGCCAGCCTGGTAAAATTGTCAAGCTCCAGATCCCAATGAGAGACCGTGTCTCAAAAAGCAGGGTGGCTGACTCCTGAGGAGCATGTCCTCCAGGTTGTCCTCTAGCCGCCACATTCACATATACATGTACATGCTTTTGCACTCACATACACATATACCTCTAAACATAAACAACACACGCCATTTCAGTATTGATCCATTCCTCTGGATCAGTCAGAGAGCACTTGCTCAGCCTGCACAGGAGCTTCAGTTCAATCATCCATACACATGTGAGTTTAAATGAATATACATTTCAGCCCTTTTCTTTCTCTTCCTTTTTTTTTTTTTTTTTGTGGCGGGGGGGGAAAGGAGGGAGGAGGGAGGGAGGGGAAGACAAGGGTTTCTCTGTCATTCCCTAGAACCTGCTCTGTAGATCATTCTGGCCTCAAACTCAGACATCTTCCTGCCTCTGCCTCCCAAGTGCTGGGATTAAAGGCATCTGTCACCACCACCTGAGTCTTTCGTTTGTTTGGTTTGGTTTGGTTTGGTTTGGTTTTTTGAAACAGGGCTTCTCCGTGGCTTTGGAGGCTGTCCTGGAACTAGCTCTTGTAGACCAGGCTGGTCTCGAACTCACAGAGATCCACCTGTCTCAGCCTCCCAAGTGCTGGGATTAAAGGCATCTGTTGTCACCACCTGGCTGTTTTGTTTTAAATCGTTGTTTTTTATTTATTTTTGTTCTGGATGGAACCAAGGATCACAAATGTGCTTCTGGTGAGCTTCATTTTTATTGCAAGCCTTTTTTTCAGTTTTATGTGAGTGAAAACAAATGCAAGCCTGGGCAGTGGTGGCACACGCCTTTAATCCCAGCACTAGGGAGGCAGAGGCAGGTGGATCTCTGTGAGTTTGAGGCCAGCCTGGTCTACAGAGTGAGTTCCAGAACTGGCTTCAGAGAAAGTCTGTCTTGGATGAAAAAAAAAATGCAGAAACAATTTTTATGGTTGGGGTCTGGAGAGGTAACTCAGCAGGTAGAAGTACATCATGATGATGGGTTTCTTTGTGACAGTTTCTGTTCACCATCCTCTCCATTCCCATTGGACTTCCTCCTAACTACTCTCACAATTTTTTTTTTTTTAAGTTTTTTTAAGATTTTTTTTCTCTGTGTGTGTGTGTGTGTGTGTGTGTGTGTGTGTGTGTGTGTGTGTGTTAGATCTCTATGAACTGGAGTTACAGGCAGTTGTGAGCTTCCTGGTGTATGTGCTAGGAACTAAACCCTGGGGTCCTCTGGAAGAGCCAGAAAGTGCTCTTAACTACTAAGCCATCTCTCCAGTGTCCATCTTCTTTTGTTTTGGTGGCCATTGAGTTTAATTAGGGTTACTTATAGGGGAGTGGGCAATTTACCAGTGGCTAGGGCTGAAGGTATATATATATCCTCAAATAAGGACAGGTCTTTGAGAACCCCTCCTTTTTTTTTTTTTTTTTTTTTTTTTTTTTTTTTTTTTTTTTTTTTTTTTTTTTGAGACAGGGTTTCTCTGTGTTGCAGCTCTGGCTATACTGGGATTCACTCTGTACACCAGGCTGGCCTTGTACTTGAAGAGACCTATCTGCCTCTGCCTCCCAAGTGCTGGGATTAAAGGTATATGCCACCACTGCCTAGCCCTTTTTTTTTTTTTTTAATTGATATGCATGAGTGTTTCTTGCCGGCATGTATGTCTTTGTGCCTTGTATGTGCTTGGTGTCTGATATCCACAGAGGTTAAGATGAGGTCATTGGATCCCCTGGAACTGGAGTTATTGACAATTGTGAGCCACTATTGGGTTCTGGGAACTGATCTCAGGTCCTCTGCAAGAGCACTGCATACTCCTGACTGCTGAGCCATCTCTCCATTCTCCTTTAATCCTTTAAATCTTGAGAAGATGGGCACTGTTTTGACACACACCTGAAGCAGGGGGTTATGAGTTTGAGACCAACCTGGGGCTATATAATGACATCTTGTCTCCAAAAGTAAACAACATTTTGTAGAACTAATGCTACATAATAGTGGAAAAACTTAGTCTACTTAAACTTTCATAAATTAGTTGTGTATAGTCTAAGGTTAGAAAAACAGATTTAGTCTGTTATCTCTAGGCATCAGACAATGTCACTAAGTTTACAACACGGTATAATTGTGCTATATACCATAGCCTTATTTTGAAAAAATTAACATCTGAATATCTATCAACTGAAATAATTGGAAGGAAAACATCAGGGTAGTGTATACTCTAATCCCAGCTACACAAGTTGCTGGTGGGATGATGGTTTGCCAGTTCAAGGCCGGCCTGAGCAACTTAGCAAAACTCCATGAGGCTGGGAGGGAAGGAATGTTTATAATAGTTTGAACTCTCTTGTGGTACTATCATCATAAAACCCTACCCCACTTTGTAGAAATTACATAGTAAGCAAGTTAATACCTCCTTATCAAACTTTCTCATCTCCGCAGGAAATAATAGCAAATATACCCAGAATCTCTTAGAGTGCTATTCTTATCCATGTGACCTCATGGTCTATTAATAATGATGAGTAAATGCAGCTTTATAAGAAATGTCTTTTAGGTTCCTTACCAGTGAGCTTTAAACAGTTCCATCAATGAAATTCTGAGAGGGAGATAGTCAATATGCAAGCTATTTCCTTCTCATGCTTCTCTTTTTCTTTCTTATTAATTTTTCAACTTAGCATACAAAGTAATAGGCATTATCATGGAAGTTTCATATATGTATGTATTATACATTGTTATAATTCATTGCCCTCCTTCACCCTTCTTTCCATTTTTAGACTACACATTTGTAGATACCAGCATCTCTGTGATTTATAGGTTCCTTCCCTAGTATTCATGTAGAGCAGCAATATTGCATCCCAACCCCTGCTGCTGCTGTTAATCAGCAACAATTAAAATTTGGTTACTAATTCCTCATTACTGCCTTTCACACTACTCATTTTTCATTTTTTAGAGTCTTAGAACTATTACAGCTGTGCATCATAATATTAGTACCTCCTCAGCCATCTGGCACAGGGCAAGAGGCAACTAGTACAGATTCTTCAGAATGAGAAGTCACACATAAGCAAGAACAGAATAGTATGAGGTCTTAAACAACAAACAGGTAAAGGAGGCATGGAGACAACTTGAATGGCAGCAGAAATAGAAACAGTCCGAAGAGGTTTTTAATTGAAGGCCATGTTTTTGCTGAATACATATCTGCCTTTTGCTTTCTAAAAGAAAGTAATTCACATAGGTCATGTCCATTAATAAATTGTTTCTAATTCCAAATTAGATGCTATTGGCTAAAGGCATCCTAAGCTTTATTTTTGTCTTGCTGTGCTTACCTGTTCTTGGCATCGAGCCTCCTGGAAAAAGATATTTTTTTTCCAGGGGCTGGAGAGCTGGCTCAGTGGTTAACATGACCGACTACTCTTTAGAAGACCTAGGTTCAGTTCTCAGCACCCATATAGTGACTCACAACCATTTGTAACTCCAGTTCTGGGGAATCTGACATCCTCTTCTGATCTCCATAGGCACATGGTACACATGTATGCAAACCACTCATACATAGAAAACAAAATTTTAAAAAATCAAAAATATTAAGGAAAAATACTTTGTTCATTCATTTCTATATGAAAATATATTCTAGCCACTGTTCACTTTAGTAAGTGTCTTGTGGACAGATACAGTGTTTTATGCCTGGTATCCCAGCACTGGATAGGCTGAAGTGGAGGAAATGCTATGAACTCCATACTGTTGGGATGACCAGAGTGAGACCCTGACTCAGAAATGGAGGAGGAAAAGGAAAGGAAGAAAAAGGAAGTCTCATGGAGGTTAATCTTGAGAGTAGTAGGTTACCTGTTTAAGGGAAGGACATTGTCTAGGTTCTTGCTATAAAAACTTTTATCTGCTCAGTTATTTAACCATTGAAACTATATATTTATAAGTTTGACTGTTTGCTCCCCACTCTTAACTTTCATGCTGAAATACATGAATGTGAAAGCTGCAGGGTGATTCCCAGCTTTTGGTTGTCTCCCTCCCTACTTTTATTCAGTACAGGTTTTCTTTCAACTGATGTGTTGGTTCATTAGTGGAAATGAATACAGTCACGGTACTATTTCTCAGTGCTTTGCAGCAGTTGTTAATGTCAAGCTGCAAACAGAAACCCTGCAATAGTCAATAACTAGTGAGCACTAATGTACTGGATTTTGTTGTTGCTTTCTATTGCTTTACCTTTCCTTCCATATCTTGCTGTTATGCTTCTTAACGCCTAAGCAGACTGCATCATCAGAGCGCCGAGGAGAGTGGGAAATCCAGCCCAGCCGGCAGACCAATACCTCATTCCTGACGTCTCACTTGGCCGCAGATCGCCATGGGGGTTCAGTACAGGTACCTACTGTCTTCCCTGTCCTTCTCAGCCTAGCTAGTAGAATGTTGGCTAGCTCTTGCAGTTTGGGTTCCTTTCAGATGGCTACTTACAGCAGGGGTGAGTTGCTTCTATTTAACTGATTGTGTCTGTGCCAGTTTTCTAACCATGTGGACTTTGGTAAAGTCATTTTTTGAGATAATTGCTGCTTTTTGTTATTGACTAAGAAACATCTTTGTGATTTCTGTATTGAATTACTCCACCCTACAATCTTGATCTACTGGTAATCTGAAAAATACCATCCAGGTAGAAGTGTGTTAGTATCTGAATTGTAAAGTCCTGAAACTTAAAATTGTAGCTTTCCAGTACTAGAGGTATGCATGTGTAACTCACTGCATGATGACAGATGATTTAGCACCTATTAGCCTGGCAGTATTGATTGGGGGATTTCCTGAGCAAATATTCAAGAAGTTGAGATGTTTCCTATTTTCTCTCTGGAATAAATTTGGTCTTGGAAATTATTTCTGTTTTTGTTTGGGCTAGCCTGAGGTTTTCTTCTCTGTTTGGGGCCAGGTATATCTTCTATCTCTTCACTTTCCTTGTGTACAACTTTTAAAATCCCAACCAGGAAAAAATTTCAGTTGAATATTTTTGTCATACTGATGACCTAGTTGATGTATAGAAATGAACTTCCTGCATGTAAATAAACATTAATAGGCCTCATCTTCTAGAATATGCTTTTTTAAAGAAAATGACTCACTGAAGCCGGGCAGTGGTGGCACACACCTCTAATACCAGCACTCGGGAGGTAGAGACAGGCGGATCTCTGTGAGTTTGAGGCCAACCTGGTCTACAGAGTGAGTTCCAGGAAGGCTCCAAAGCTACAGAGAAACCCAGTCTCAAAAAACCAAAGAAGGAAGGAAGGGTGGGAGGGGGGGGGAGGGAGGGAGGGAGGGAGATAAAGAAAGAAAATAAAGCAATGACTTACTGAACGATCTTTTTATTCATAGGAAGTTAAGACACCTTTAGCCCTATAAAGTACTTCATAGAAACATGAAGGTAAAACAGATTTGCTTTTCTCTTTGACTGAAACAGTGATAAAGAAATCTTTTTAAACTTGGCATGGTGGTGCAGGCCTTCAGTTCATCCCAGAACTTGGAAGGGAGAGGCAGGCGGATCTCTGTAGTCAAGGCCATCCTGGCCTGCATAGTGTATTCAAGCCAGCCAAGGTTACATAGAGAGACCTTGTCTCAAAAAGAAGAGAAAGGAAAAAGAAAAGAAAAAGAATAAAAAGAATTGTTTAGAGGTATCAGTCTATGTAGGAAAAACAAAAACAGCAACAAAATGTTGGAAGTTGAAATATAGCTTAAATAACAGGAGTCCTAGAAAGTTTAATTTTCCTCTATTCATCCTGGAATTTCCCAAAAGGCTCAAGAATTGGCCTTCTTTAAGTTGAGGGGTGTTAGCAGGATCCCTACATGTTTTCTCCTTCCTTCACCAGAGACCGAATCTTTATTTGGAGAGGGGGAGTAGGAGTCACTCCATCCCATCTGACTTTGTGTCCTCCTACACCCACCTCCCACCCTCCAGCACAGGCCTCACCTTGTTTCAGGGGCAACATCAGGCAGAACCTCAGGTGGTTGTGGGTGAAGACAGGACAGCCAGTGACATACAGCTAGTTGATTTCTTGTTCGTCTCTGATGTTTCACACCTGGAAATACTGAGTAGCTAATATTGAAATGAAAAACTCAGTGGCAAAGCTGGAGAGGCTGCTCAGCAGTTAAGAGCACTTGTTACTCTTGCTTTTAAATGACCCAGGTTTGGTTTCCAGTACCCACATTGAAATTCACAATCATCTGTTACTCCAGTTTCAGAGGATCTAACACCCTCTGAACAGAGCATCAGGTTCACATGTAGTGCACAGACATACAATGCAAGCAAAATGACAATACATATAAAAAATTTTAAGGAAGAGAAATACAAAGGAAAAAAATGGTAGTTTTGCTTGAGAACAAGGTGTAATTTTGCTGAAAGAAAAACATGACAAAATAACTTCGAATTAAAGAGAAGCACACACATACACACAAAGCCAGGCAGTGGTGGTACACTCCTTTAATCCCAGACCAGCACTGGAGGCAGAGGCAAGCAGATTTCTGTGAGTTCAAGGCCAGCCTGGTCTACAGAGCAGGTTCCAGGACACAAAGAAACTCTGTCTCAAAACAACAACAATAAACAAAAAAAAAAAAGAAAGCAGTGAAATAACAACACAACACAAAATGAATTACCCAGAAGTACACAGATCTCTCGTGGTAGAAAAGTAGATGTACTTCCCTCTTCAGAATTACCAAATGAACCATGTGCTAACAATTTATGTATCAGCCAATGCCACAGAGAAATTCCTTGGGGAGTTATACAGTTCCCTTCCTGGAAGTTGAGGATATTTACATATCATATTCAAAATGAAATTAATATGTCTGCTATAAAAACAAATTAAAGCAGAAACTAAGATTTTGTTTGTTTTTGTTTTGAGTCTCTAGACTAAGGGATGTAGGGTACTCTTGTAGCAAGGTGTAGTGCTTAACAGGGAGAGTAGGTAAATAGTATCCTTACTGACTGCTTGGCTGCTTTAGAAAACCAATAGCTAGGTCTGGACATTCCAGGCAAGAAGTAAAAGAATATACTCTGGAAAATACAACCTTCCAGAAAGAAAATTGAAGGGTACTAATAGCATTTACTCATAGCCAAGTCATCCTGAAATACAATCCAGAGTAATCAGTAGTTGATGTGCAGTTTTTATTAGGGGCTCGGAGAGGTGGCTCGGCACTTAGATGCACGATGCACAAGATGCTCTTGCAGAGGGACCTAAGTTCATTCAGTTCCAAGTACATCAGGCAGCTAACTCCAACTCAGGGGATGTCACACCTTATTCTGGTCTCCCTGGGCCCCTCACTCATAAACACATACCCATTGTCCTAGTTTTCTTTCTTTGATAAACACCATGACCTGAAACTTGGGGAAGAAAGGGTTTATTTCTTCTTTCAGCTTGCAGTCACTGAGGGAGGCAGGAATTAAAGCAGAGACCGTTAAAAAACACTGTGTATTGACTGGCTTGCTCAGCCTACTTTTTTATACAACCCAGGACCACCTGCCTACTGTGGCCTGGGCCTTCCCACAGCAATCACCAATCAAGTGGAGGCTCTTCCCAGATGGCCCTTGTGTTGGGTTGACAAAAAATTAACTGTCACACCTATACTGGACATACACACATATAATTAAAAATAAAAAATAAATCTTGTTTAAAAGTTTTATTAGCACAGATTATATAGAATTGGCTTCATTGTATCATTTTCATACATTATCACCCATTACCCTCTTTTTCCCTCTCACTTTGCAGTGTGTGTGTGTGTGTGTGTGTGTGTGTGTGTGTGTGTGTGTGTACAAACACATGCCAATGAGTTTAATTCCAATTTTTACAGGAGCATAGACAACTTACTGGTACCTACAACACTGAGAGAAATGCCCCTTCCTTCTCACAGTAATCACTCACTGCCTATTAATCCCCAGGGAGGGGTAGAGACTTAAGCATCCATCACTTCTAATATGAGCAGATAATTAAGGGTTATCATGCTTCTGAGGAAACTTTAATAAGAAAGAAACCAAAGCAAATGAACTACAGCAGCAGTGTTTTCAAAAAGGCAGTCTTTGCCAGGTGGTGGTGGCACACTTTATCTCAGCACTAGGGAGGTAGAAGCAGGCAGATCTCAGTGAGTCGAGGCCAACCTGGGCTACAAAGTGAGTTCCAGGATAGCCAGGGTTACACAGACAGCCTGTCTTGAAAAACAAAAACCAATTAAAAAGAGCCATCTTTTAAAGAGAGAAATGACTCAGAAGAGCATTGCCTACTACTCTGGAGGACTCAGGTTCAAATCCCAACACCAACATGACAGCTCACAGCTGTTTGTATCTCCAGTTCAAGAGAATCTAATGAGCTCTTCTGACCTCCTTGGACACTGAACATACAGGGTTCACAATGCATGTATATGCAAGTGAAGCACCCATACACATAAATTAATAAAATAGCATTTATAAAGCCCTTAAACATTAAAATAATTTGAGTTCGAGACCAGCCTGGTCTATAAGAGCTAGTTCCAGGATAGCCTTCAAAGCCCCAGAGAAACCCTGTCTCCAAATAAAATAAAATAAAATAAAACCCAAATAGATTTGGAATATAAAATTAAGAAAGCAAAGCAGTCCGGGCAGTGGTAATACATGCCTTTAATCCCAGCACTCAGAAGGCAAAGGCAAGTGGATCTCTGTGAGTTCGAGGCCTGCCTGATCTACAGAGTGAGCTCCAGTACTGACAGAGCTACACAGAAAAACGCTGTCTTAAAAAAATTAAAAGAATGGGGGCTGGAGAGATGGCTCAGAGGTTAAGAGCACCGACTGCTCTTCCAGAGGTCATGAGTTCAATTCCCAGCAACCACATGGTGGCTCACAACCATCTACAATGAGATGTGGTGCCCTCTTCTGGTGTGCAGATATATATGGAAGCAGAATGTTGTATATATAATAAATAAATACATTCTTTAAAAAAAGTTAAAAGAAAAATCAGTATCCTTGAGACAGCAAGATAGCTCACCAGGTAAAGGGACAACTAAGCCTTGATGACTTGAGTTCAATCCCTGGGACCCAATGACGGAAGGAGAGAACTAACTCCTGAAGGTTGTGTCTTCAGACTTTCACATGTATGCAGTGGCAGGTATGTTCCTCACCCCCATTTGGAATAAATATGTAAAATAACATTTCTTAATCGAAAAAGAGATCCTTAGAAGGAAAATAAGACAACCAAAGAATGAGTATGGGCTTCTTTAAGATAATTTCCAGGGCCGAGCGGTGGTGGCACACACCTTCAATCCCAGCACTTGGGAGGCAGAGGCAGTCGGGATCTCGAGTTCGAGGCCAACCTGGTCTACAAAGTGAGTTCCAGGACAGCCTCCAAAGCCACAGAGAAACCCTGTCTTGA